CCCCTGGTGAGGGCACTGGACACTGTGTAAGGTGTGCCAAGGGTGTAACTGGTCTGGAAAGTAGAATTTGCTTCAGGGAACGGAAGAGGTGGGAGCTGCTTCGTAACCCACAGGGAAGCATGCCATAGCAACAGAATTTGCCTAGGGGACCCTAGGAGACCCGGGGCCATAAACAAGATATATGATTTCAGGAACATGGCCTAGGCAGTGTGAAGGGCATGTGGGCACGAAAGACCTCTGACTTTAAATCGATAATCTGAAAACCAAGTGAGCCCTTGAGTATATCTCAAGGCCATTTCCTGTACTTGTGTAGTCCAGTGGGAGCTCTGATAACAGCTCAGAGACTGACTCCAAGTTCATAGACTAAGGTCTTCTGAAAATGTTTCTCTCTCTCTCTCTCTCTCTCTCTCTCTCTCTCTCTCTCTCTCTCTCTCTCTCTCTTTCCCTGAGACAGGGTGTCTCTATGTAGTCCTAGTGAGTCCTAGCTGGATCTCGCTCTGTAGACCAGGCTGGCCTCGAACTCACAGAGATCTGCCTGCCTTAACCTCCCAAGTGCTGGGATTAAAGGCGGGCGCCACCACTGCTGGCTGAGACCCTGTCTTTAAAAAAAAAATGGTGGGTCTAGAGATGGCTCATGGTTAAAGGTACTTGCTGGCCTTCCAGAGGACCTGAGTTCAGTTCCCAGCACCACATCAGGCACCTTCGATCTGCTTGCAGCTCCTGCTCTAGGGGATCCCACACCCTCTTCTGACCTCCACAGGCACACACCCACCCACCCACCCACACGGCATACAGATACACGTAATAAAAATAAAACACTGGGGCTGGAGAGAAGGCTCGGGCTAAGAGCACAGACTGCTCTTCCAGCGCCCACATGGCAGCTCACAGCTGTAAACTCCAGTCCCAAGGGGATCTGACGCCCTCACACAGTCATGCATGCAGGCAGAACACCAGTGTACATAAAATAAAAATAAATTATAAAAAACGAAAAACAAAGCACTATGGGAATACAAAGTGTGTGTGTGTGTGTGTGTGTGTGTGTGTGTGTGTGTGTGTGTGTGTTGTGTGTGTGTGTGTGTGTATACACATAAACATGCATGTGCCTAGACTCTCCAGCCTGGTGGAAGAAGTAAGAATCATGCTCACAAATAATGGTAAAAATGGTAATAATGCTAAACATGGCTGCCATCTGAACTGGGGCTAGTCAGCCATCCAAATGGAATATCATTTCAATTTAGAAAGCTGCTTTGTCTGAACATGGTGGTGCATGCCTTTAACCCCAGCACTTGAAAGAGGCAGATGGATCTCTGTGAATTTAAGGACAGCATGGTCTACATAGTAGGTTCTTAGTAAGCTAAAACTATACAGCGAGATCTGTTTGTAGAAAACAACAAAACCTTAGAAAGGTACTCAGGTCTTTGCCTTACCGAGGTCTGTGTATATAGTAACCATTCAGAGGGATCCCAGGCTCTTCAGAACACTGTCTCTCCTCCCTCAGTAGATTCTCACTGTGGGCCACCTTTAGGTCTCCTGATGAGGTTGGGGAGGCTCCCAGCAGGATACAGGAACTTGCTGCCAGGACTCTGTTGATCTGGCCTTGTGTTCTCAGAGGAGCAGGTATCAAACAGGCTTCCCAGAGACTAGCTTTTGGATTGGACCTGAACGGGCAGAGCTGGGGTGGTGTGGAAGCCAGCTTTGAGACATAAGATGGAGTGGAAATTGGGGCCATCACAGGCCAGGCTGTGGTGTGGATGGAAAGCTGTGGCTGGTGGGTCTCTGTAGGGGACTGACCTGCCCCAAGCAGGGGTTCAGTGCACCTCTAATAAGCATACCTGGCTTTTGTATTTGTTTTCCCCCCTCAGAGTCGAGGTTATTTTTCTTTGGAACTTACTGGGTTCTTTGCAGTTTCTCTCTCTTCCATACTCTATTTTCTCTACTCTGGATTCAGCAAAGTGGAGCTTTGTCTCCTGTTCCCCCTGCACAGTTGGCAGATTTAGTGACGGGGCCACTGGCCACTCGCTCAGCCAGCACTTGTTCAAGATGAGGCAGACAGACAACGGCGGGAGGTGTGGCCCCCAGGGCTAGTACGGAGGCCTCCCTTTTCTTCACACGTGGACAGGCCCGCAAGCCTGTGTTGACTGCCCCCTGCTCCGGCCTGCTCTGCACTTGGGAAGGGACAACAGGTAGAACAGTCACTGAAGACAGGGTGAGAAAGAAGACGTGAGACCATAGAGGGCACGGGAGTTCTAGGCAGGTGCCACAGCTTAGGACTTTCCGGTGGGAAGCCCCGGGCTGTTCCTTCGCCAGGCACGTCTGAAAACGATGGTAGGCAGAATGGGGTGGGCTCGTGGAGAACACTGGAGACGCGGCCCTCTGCTGCCTGCAGTATCTAAGTGCACAGTGTGGGTGGTGGTTGTCTGTTTGTTTTCTGAGACAGTCTCAGATAGGCCATGCCTGCCTTAAACTTGCTGTGTGGGTGAGGATGCCCTTGAACTTCTTTATTTACAGTGCTGGGCAGAAGTGAAGTCTGCCCTGTGGGTCCTGGAGATGGGTCTCAGGGCTGCAGACCTGGCAGCAAAGTTCTCTTACCCACTGAACCATCTGGCCAGCCTAACTTGAATTTCCAATCCCCCTGCCTCTGCCTTTGAAGTGCTGAATTACAGGCAGGAACCACCAAACCCAATGCAGAGTAATGTTTTAGGGGTTTTGTTGTTGTTTATTGATACATGATCTCTCTACATAGCACTGTTTGTACTGAAACTTATTATGTAGACCAGGCTCGCCTTGAACTCACAGAAGTGTCCTGCCTTTGCCTCCTGAGTGCTGGGAAAAGGTGTGTGCCACCATGCCCAGTTCAGAGTGATGTTTTGAATGAACAAATGTCTCCTCAGCCAGGAGGAGCGTGTGCATTCTCTTGAGAAACAGACTAACCGTGCCTAGCTCCAAGCTGAGAATGCAGAAAGAAATCAGTCCATCATAGATAGCTTCAGCTCCCCTACGGTGTGCTAAACAGGGAAGGCAGTCAGGTGTGCCTGGGTTGTGGGCCTGGAAAGGCCAGGTAGAGTAAGTGGCCCAAGGCTTGCAAGCCCAGAGCTGTATCACTCCTAAATGAGCTGCTGTTACCTGTGGTTGGTGGCAGGATGTAGTCTGGCCCATGAGCTCTGGAGAGGCAAGGTCTGTCTGGTTTAGGGGACTGGGCCAGCTCTTCTGCTTGAAGATAGAAATTTTGGATTTTCCTCTGACAAGCATGCTTGGGTTTAGAGAGGGAGAGAGCCACACTCCAACTCCAAAGCCAGCTTTAAATTTCAATTGAGTTGGGACTACAAAAAGACCATTTGCCTTTTATGTCTATAGAACACAGAAACATTTAGGAAGATTTATGAGTTTTTTTTTCTGTTGGAAATGTGATATACCATTAAGCCAGTTACTTTTTTTCTTTGGACATTTTCCCTGATAATTCATCCTTTTCTTCAGATGTCTCATTTGTCCAGTGGTCTTTAAATTCTTTAGTTGGATGCTTTTATTCTCTTGGAAAGACAAAATAAAACCCTTCCCAAACTCTAACTCCACACTAACTTTTTTTCTTTCTTTCTTTTTTTCCCCCTACGACAGGGTTTTTCTGTGTATCCCTGGCTGTCCTGGAACTCACTCTGTAGACCAGACTGCCCTTGAACTCAGAGATCCACCTGTCTCTGCCTCCCGAGTGCTGGGACTAAAGGTGTGAGCCACCACTACCCGGCTTTTTTTTTTTTTTTAAAGGAAGTCCCTCCACATAGTCTAGATTGACCTTGAACTCACTATGATCTTTTGTGCTGAGATCACAGCTACCATACCTGCTGAACACAAATCTTACATGTGCCATCCACAGAGGGCCAGGCGGTAGGAGGGAGTGTAGGGTACCCAGGGATCAGTCCAGAGCCTTGAAAGGCCCCGTGGACGCCAGAACTGAGTCTGCCTATGCTTTTCTAGGTCATTTGAGTTTCCTTGGTCTGAAGTAGACTCTGGGATTCCCATCATCCTGACTAACTGAAACCTGGTGAGAAGCGGGCACCCACTGAGAACTGTAGGCCTGTCCTGTGCTGTTCTAAGGGATTGGGGCCCAGGCAAGACAGGAGGGCTCAGTGTCTCCGAGATCCCACCACCCTTTCCTGGTCTCTCTGACCCTTTAGAAAAAAAAAACAAAAAGATTTGCTTATTTTTATTTTATGTGGGTGTTTTGCCTGCATGTATATGTGTTGTATGCATGTAGTGCCCTGGAAGGCCGGAAGAGGAACAGGAGTTACAGAAGGTTGTGAGCTGCCATATCAGTGCTGGGAACCAAATGTGGCAAGCGTTCTTAACTGCCGAGTCATTTCTTCAGCACCCCCTTTGCTGGCCCTTCCTTTGGTTTGCTTTAGTTTTTCGAGACAGGGTTTCTCTGTGTAGCCCTGGCTGTCCTGGAACTCACTCTGTAGACCAGGCTGGCCTCGAGCTCAGAGATCCGCCTGCCTCTGCCTCCTGAGCGTTGGGATTAAAGGCGTGCGCCACCACGCTGGGCTCTTGCTGAGAGCAGGAGAGCGAGGGTGGCTGACTGAAGCGGATGGCCGTTCCATGTCCTTGCAGATGGTGGAAAGTATGAAGTACCCCTTTCGGCAGGGCATGCGCCTAGAGGTCGTGGACAAGACCCAGGTGTCGCGGACCCGCATGGCTGTGGTGGACACGGTAATTGGGGGTCGCCTCCGGCTGCTCTATGAGGATGGTGACAGTGATGATGACTTCTGGTGCCATATGTGGAGTCCCCTGATCCACCCAGTAGGTTGGTCACGGCGTGTCGGCCATGGCATCAAGATGTCAGGTTAGTGGAGCCCCCAGCTGGTGTAACTCGAGGCTCAGCCTCCCCACAGATCAGTAGGAGCACCTTCGCTGTACCTCACAGGAGTGTAGTGAGGTGGACTGCCATCACTGCCTGCAAGTGACAGCACTGAGGCTCAGAGAGGCCCAGTGACTCGACTTGGGTCACTCAGGTGCCACTGTCACAGTGCCAGCACCAAAGAGCCCAGATCCCCAGTGCTGAACAGCCCACAAGACTGCTCTGGCTCCTCTGGGCTAGCCTTGTCTGCTTTCCTGTGTAGGGTGGGAGCTGGGGCACAGCTGAGAACAAAGGTAGCCTCCCTGGCCCCATAATTCTGGAGGGAATGTGATAACCACTGGCTGCCTTCAGCTCCCTTTCTTCCTCTCTTCTCCGCCATCTCCCCAAGAGAGACGATGTGATATGTCCCATCATCCCACCTTCCGGAAAATCTACTGTGACGCCGTTCCTTACCTCTTCAAGAAGGTAAGGTGCCACGGTGGGCACTTCCCAGGCTGCAGGAGCTTGGCTGCTCTCTGGGACTATTCCTTGCCCATTTTGGAAAAGATGGATCTACAGTCCTTAACATACATGAGGACCTCTTTAGGGAGTAGACTGAGGCAGGGTCTCATTGTAGCTCAGGCTGGCTTGTCACAGCCTCTTTACGTTCTGGGATTATAGGTGGGCACCACCACACCCAGAAGGACTGCCCCTTGCCCTCTGGTTCCATCCCAGGCCTGCAGCATCTGAAACCCGCTTCCTTTTCCTTCCCCTGAATCCTTTAAGGTGCGGGCTGTCTACACAGAAGGTGGCTGGTTTGAGGAAGGGATGAAACTAGAAGCCATTGACCCTCTGAATCTGGGCAACATCTGTGTGGCAACCATCTGCAAGGTGAGCCTCGGCACTCTCCCAGCGCCAGCACGCTGTCTGGGGGTGGAGTGCACAGAGCTTTGCCCCACAGTTAGGCTCGTGGGGCTCTTGACACCGGCTCTGCTCAGGTTGTACTTGTGTGTGGTAGAGGGAGACTCTTCCTGCCTTTACGCAGAACCTGTCTTCACGTTAACACCTCAGCCTTGTCCCAGTCAGGTACAGGCTCCACACTGTCCCCTCGCGTCGGCCTTCCTGCCACTGCCTCTCGCATGCCCAGAGCCTCAGCCCGACCCCTGCTCCTAACTGCCTCGTTGCTGCAGCCTGAGGACACTGCCGATTGTCCCTCTAGCCTGCTCGTGCCCAGCTCTGTGCTCTCTGCATGCTGAGAGCAAGCCCTGACCGCGTGAGGCGGCCATCCAGTGGAGAGGATGCGTTACCCCACAATGCACGTTCCTGAGAGCTGGGTGCTCCGCCAGACACCTGGGGCTATTTTGGTGGAAGGCAGAATTCAACCGTCCAGTTGGCTCCACCTGCCTCGTGTCCAGTCACAGCTACTTTACTCTGGGGGGTCTGCAGTCTGCAGTTAATGTGACGATGCTGTTTATTGCTCTATACCCGTTCCTAGGGCTTTTTGTTTTGTTTTCTTGTTAATTACATTTATTTTATGTGCATGGAAATCAGGACAATTGGTGGTAGTTGGTTTGTCCTTCCACTGTGGGGCTTCTTGAGTCATGCAGATAGCAAGTGTTTTTCCCTTTTGAGACATCTGGCTGGCCCCACTCTAGGTCCTCTTGGACGGCTACCTGATGATCTGTGTGGACGGGGGACCCTCCACAGATGGCTCAGACTGGTTCTGCTACCATGCCTCTTCCCATGCCATCTTCCCAGCCACCTTCTGCCAAAAGAACGACATTGAGCTCACACCCCCAAAAGGTAAGGCCTTGCAGGGTGAGGCCCTGATGTGTGGCACCTTAGTGTGAGAGAGATGGTGGGCGTCTACAGTCACCGCTGGCTTTCCTCTGCCTGGGCTCCCCCGCCCCATGGCTGATGTGTGGCTCATGGTGAACAGAATCCCGTGTGTCCTAAGGTGGTACGTGACCTGGGTCACAGGACTGTCCTGAAGCAGGTGTCTTCCTGGGGAGAAGGACAGTTACCCACTAGGCTGCTCTGCCCCTTGACCCTTCCTGTTCTAAATGTCTGCCCTCCAGGGTATGAGGCTCAGCCTTTCGACTGGGATACCTACTTGGAGAAGACCAAGTCGAAGGCGGCTCCTGCAAGACTCTTTAACATGGTGAGGAGACTCGAGCTGGCTCAGGGAGGCTGGCAGCGCCGACATCAGTGGTGGCAATCTCTACCCCTTCCTCCAAGTCGTTACTGCTGGGAGCAGCCACTTGTAGAAAAGCCTGTGACATGGATACTCTGAGAGCCCCAGTGTAGACCAGTCCCTTCTCTACAGGGGCTGGCCCTTGAGAAGAGAGTTCAGTGGGGCCGCTGTCTGAGGGAGCCTTCTCCAGTGGCCCCTCCCCACCCGTAGTTCTCTCAGCTCCCTGCCTACCTGGGTGAGCACTCGGGCCTAGCCCCGGCCAGCTGGGCAACTGCCGTCTTCCCCAACCAGGACTGCCCCAACCACGGCTTCAAAGTGGGCATGAAGCTGGAGGCTGTGGACTTGATGGAGCCCCGGCTCATCTGCGTGGCCACCGTGAAACGCGTGGTTCACCGGCTCCTCAGCATTCACTTCGATGGCTGGGACAACGAGTACGACCAGTGGGTGGACTGTGAATCCCCGGACATTTACCCTGTGGGCTGGTGTGAACTCACCGGCTACCAGCTCCAGCCGCCTGTGTCTGCAGGTCAGGGCGGGGCAGCGGCGCTGAGAACTCTGGGATTCTCTTCGCTTGTCTTTTTCCTTCCTGCCACCTGCTCCTCCCCATGGCCACCGTAGTCCTCTGGCACGAGACTGAGAAGTCCCCGGGTTTCTCTAGGCCCGTGGTTCTCAACCTCCTAATGTTGTGACCCTTCACTATAGTTCCTCAGGTTGTGATGACCCCAACCATGAAATTATTTTTGTTGCTATCACAGCTGTAATTTTGCTACTGTTCTGAGTCGTAATGGAAACATCTGTTTTCTGATGGGCTTAGGGGTCGTGGCCCATGGGTTGGGAACCTTTGCTGTAAGCAGTGTGAGCTCTGCCTCACCCCTCCTGCCCTCTGCCTCCCTCTCCCCAGCCCTGCAGACACCTTCCTCCCTCTCGCCCTCTCTGTCCTATGTCTGGGCCCTTGTACACCCGACCCCTTGAGCAGCCCCAGTGACAAGGGGGTGGATGGGATAACTGTCCTCCAGCCCTTCCCCCATCCTGTCCTCGGTGTCCAACTCTGCCTTCTCTACTTGGAGTACCCCATAGATGAGGGCCAAGGGTCTTCTGGGAGGTGCCCTTCCAGAACTCTCTTCTTATCTCTTTTGTTCTTTCAAACATTAGAACCAAACACACCTCTGAAGGGCAAAGAGGCCACAAAGAAGAAAAAGAAACAATTTGGGAAGAAAAGTAAGTGAAGCCCCAGAATGCCAAGCACTGACTTCTGGGGTGCTGCCATGCAGAGATCTCTGTGGTCATGCCTTTCCTCTTCCTGGAGTGTGCCCCCAGGGGACCCTGTGCCTTAGGGGATCAAGTGAGTGCTGAGGAAACAGGCTGAGATTGGAGGGAGGAATGGAGGGGGGGAGGGAGGGTCCCAAGGCTGCTCTTCCCTCACACCCTCCTAGAGCAGCTGAGCGGGGCCAACTCCACCTGGCTGTCAGAAGCCACCCTTAGTAGATCATGGGGCTGCCAGAGGAGGGGACAGAGGGCAGGTGACAAAGCTGTAGAAAGGGGTTGGTTCCACAGCGTGGCCACCAGGTGGAGGAGGAGAGGAAGGTCTGCAGGGCATGAAGCCAAAAGCAGGGACTAGGTCCCTGGGCAGCATGACATTTGGACTGAGGCTGTGCTCTTCAAAGTGGGGACCTGATTGTGTCATGTTACAATTAAATCAAACATCGGAAATCTAGCCAGGCAGTGGTGGCACACGCCTTTATTTCCAGTGCTTGGAGGCTGAGGCAGGTGGATCTCTGTGAGTTCGAGGCCAGCTTGGTCTACAGAGTGAGTTTAGGACCACCAGGGCTACACAGAGAGACCCTGTCTCAAATAAAAAAGAAAGAAAACTAGCAGCCACAATGCTCTGGCCTCAGGCACCTTTGAGAACTGGAATCCAGGTCCACTGTGCCACACTGCCTGCTAGCACCAACGCTGGATGAGTTTTGTTTTTATTCACAGGGAAAAGGATCCCATCAGCCAAGACGCGGCCCATCAGACAGGGATCCAAGAAGCCCTTCCTGGAGGATGACCTGCAGGCTTTGGGGGTGTCGGAGCCCATTTCTGATGACAGTAAGAGCTGCCGGGCTGGGTGGAGGCAGGGCCAGGCTGCTCCATTCTCACATGTGGCCTCTTTGCTGGTGGGCCTGGGCATAAAAGTGGAGTTTGAAGGGGATTTTCCAGGCACCAAACAGGGTTTGAACCTCTGGAATTGGAAAGCCTAAACACCCAACCAACTCTAAACTAGGCAGAATCTCTCCAGCCAGTGTCCTGGCTCCAGCTTCCTCCCTCGCCTCTTAACTACCCACATGTTCACTAAGGTGGGTGACAGGCTGGTAGGTGCAGGTTTCTGGCACAGTTTCCTGCCTGGCTGGGGTATGCCTCGGGCCTGTTTTTTTTTTTCTTTTTCTAAACTTTTACTCATGTATATTGGGACTGCTCGAGTGAACCACGGCATACCTGGACCCGTCAGAGGACAGTCTGCAGGGGTTGATTCTCCCCCGTGTGGGTCTCAGGGATCAACCTCAGGTTGTCAGCTTGGCTGCAAGCGCCCTTATCTGTGGGGACGTCTCACTGCCACGCCTGCAATCTGGGGCCTTCTCTTGCTGCTTCTAGGAGGGTGAGGGGAAGAGTGAAGGCCGTCCCTCAGGCTCCCTGCTCCCCCAGAGGTCCCCGCTCAGGGAAACCAGCGCCCTGACTAGCCTGTCATCCACCCCAGGCTGTCACACCTTCACACACTCATCCTCTGCCCCCACTGCTCTCCCTCTCCACAGTTATTGCTGTGTGTGTGAAGGAGGAGCACCAAGACCTCTCTTCGCCCGACCGCTCACCTAGTCCACAGCTGCCTCTCCCCATCGAGCGCATCAAGCAGGAGAAGGACAACTGAGCCTCTTCCCTGGTGTCCTGGACCCTTGCTGAAGCCAGGCCCAGCCACGGAGCAGAGAGGAGGCCTGGCTTTACTGCTGTGCAGTGAACGGACAGCCTGGTCTTCTAGGGCCCACCTCTGCGCACTGGCCAGGCTTACAGACCGGGCAGCTGGAGTTCTAAGCTGGCAACCTCAGCACACTGGAAAACTGGACTGATCCACATGTGTCTACCCAGGCAAGTGGTGGAAGTGAAGCTAGGGAGCGGCTGTGAGTGGGCAGCCCTGGTGGGCACTGGGTGTGAACAGAGCCACCTCTGCCTAAAACAGACTGAGGGCCTTGTGCCTCCTGGGGCGTCCCGCACTGCCTACTGCCCTACGGCCCCACGGTGGCCGGTAATTGAGAAGTGACCATGGTAGTAGGCTTGGGTGACTTGTGAGTGGCCTTGACCTCAGGGTCAGTGGGAAAACCGACCCACGTTCTTAAAGGAACAGTTGGGATTACTTGCAGGGACCTGTGCCCCCAGGCCAGGCTACTTGCTGCAGGTATAGGATCGAACAGCAGCTTGGGCCTGGGGATCCTGCCTGAGTTATGCTTCTCGAGAGCCGAGCTTGGACCTGACATTTCCATGTAACTGTGCAGCTTGCTGTCTTAACATCAAGTTTGATCTGTTGTTTTTCCCAGTCACACACTTTTTGTTGTGGGTTTTTTTTTGTTTTGTTTTTGGAGACAGGGTCTTTCTATGTAGACCAGGCAGGTCTCAAACTCACGGAGATCCACTTACCTCTGTCTCCTGAGTGAGCACCGGCCCGAGTTAGACACTCTTGAAACTGGCCATCTAATCCTCCAGTAACATCCGGGAAACCGGTGGGGCTCCTGCGGGCCGCCCTTTCTGTTTCTCTGTGTTTTGGAGAAGCAGCGTGGCCCGTGGCTCCGTGTCCGGTTGTGGCTGTGCTCAGTCTGCGCCATCATCCTGAGATGTGCTAAATGGCTTTGCTCACAACCCAGACTGGGTACATCCCTGAGTGATCGGGCTACATAGACTGGATACATCCCTGAGTGATCGGGCTACATAGACTGGGCGGGTTCAGAGAGAACTCAGTCCTGACTCATCTGCTAAAGACAGCCCACCCTGTGCAGAGCCTAGGCCATGAAAGAGGCCTTAGTCACAGCCTGATTTCCTCAAAGGGTAAATAGGTTCAGAAGTAGATGGAAGACCACAGCAAAAGGCAGGTTCGATTCTAAGCACCTGTAACTTGAACTCCAGGGGGAGCCTGCGCCTCTGGTTTCCATGGGTACAAATGTGCACATAAACATGTAATTAAAAATAAAATCTTAAAAAAAAAGAGAAAGAATCAGGTGAGTGGACATCAACCCCAGGTGAGGAGGCTGGGAGGAAGATGGCCTGAGTGTGCCTGTAGGTGTCTGGAGCACAAGACCCCCGACAAGAGGGTAGATGTTTGGCCATCATTCTAGGCCTGACCTGGCCTTCCTAGACTCCCTGTCCTTTTCACAGATGAGCAAATTGAGCTATGGTGATCATTTGGTGAAGCGTCAGAGCCTGGGCTGCCTAGACGTTAGGCTTGACTCCAGATTACTGCTGTTCTATTAAGACAACAGAAAGGTCTCGTGTAGCTCAGTCTGACCTTCATTCTGACCTTTCACCTCCTGAGTGCTGGACCTGCAGATGTGTGCACCACACCTGTATGAGATAAAGCCCTTGCTGCACCTTGCAGAGTCTGTTCTTAAGTGTGAAGACAATTCCCACACAAGGGACAAGCAAGAAAGCCGCCCTTGGTCTCCACAGCAACCATAGCTGTACTGTCATTGGTGGGAACTCACCTGTCCCTCATTCCGACCCTGGCACAAAGCTGGAGCATTAGTGTTAGTGAAGAAATGCACGTAACTTAACGTTGCTGTTGACAACGGGTCAGATCTTTGGTCTCACTATATAGCTCAGGCTGGCCTTGAACTTAACCACGCCTCGGTTCCCAAAGTTATGGGACAAAGTCTCCCTCCTCCCCACCCCACCCCCCACACGAGACCCCCAACAAGAGGGTGGATGTTTGGCCTTCATTCTAGGCCTGACCTGGCCTTCCTAGACTGTGTAACAGTCCTGGCTGTCCTGGAATTCGCTTTGTAAACCAGGCTGGCCTTGAACTTGCAGAGATCACCTGCCCCTGACTCCCGAGTGCTGGGACTAAAGGCGTGCTCCACCACACCTGGTGGGTTGCTGGTTAGCGTCATCCTGAAGTTCCTTCCACACACCCTACTTCATCCACTGGAGGCTTTGCAGTGACCATGAGACCAAATCTCAACCCTTCAGGAGGCACCCTCTGCTCAAGCTTCCTGGAGACCCAGTCATCAATCCTTCTCGGGAAGGGGAGCCTTCTATGCTAGATGCTAGGCTACACATTGTAGACAGCTGGTTCATTTCTGTGGCTGCCCTTGCGAGGTGCATCCTGGCTTCATTTACAGATGGGAGAAAGGAAGGCTCCTAAGATACACATTGGTAGCTTAAACATACAGGGTAAATGTCAGCAATGGAAGTGAGCCGAGGCTGGTTTGCAGTTGCCATCGTTACTGGTACACGTCTTAGTAACCTTTCACGTACCACACACCAAGCTGGATGGGCTCCCTGCCAATCACGAGAGCACAGCAGGTGTGGTCCAGCCTTCCTCCTGGCACTGGAGCCCCAGGGGGCAAACAGACAATGAGCTGGACTCAGGAGTATGACCTCTCAAGAGTCCACCTCCAGCCAGCATGCACTGGGAAGGGGTGTGGTGTGGACCAGCGGGACAGTTAAAGGCACTTGCCACAAAGCTAAGGACCCGTGTGATCCTGGAACCCACATAGGTGAAGAAAATGACTCCCTTGGATTGTCCTCAGACGTTCTTGTGTACACCAGGACACATGTACCTGCACACACAAATAAATATAAAAAGTATTTGTAAATAAGGGATGGCTTCGAGAGGAGTGTGGGGACCTCTTGGGCTATTTGATCCTTTTTGATTTTATGGAAACAATCTCATGTAGCCCAGGGTGACCTTCAGTTTATCCCCCTGCCTCCTCGCAAGTACTAGGATTCCAATCACTTGTCAGCACCTCACTGTTTCATCCATTTCTAGTGCTGGCATCTGAGTTCTAGGCTACTTTGATGTAATTGTTGACCCAAGCCTGGAGGAAGGGTGATGCCAGTGAGTGTCAATGGTGTGATTTTGCTACCGTCCCTAGAATGAGCTCCAAGTCTGGCTCCTAAGGAGGATTTGTATCCTGCAGCTTGAGATCTTGCTTTTCTTTGTGTGTGCACACACTTACGTCCATGTGTGTAAATCAGAGGGCAAGCCTTGGGTGCCAGCCCCCGCCTTCCACCTTGAGAGAACTTCTGCCTGCCTCCCCACCACCTCACCTCTGTCTCACACATCCCCATCTCATTTGAAAGCTGGTGGAAGCCAGAGCAGAGTTAGGTCCCCTGGAGCTGGGATTGCAAACTTTTGTGAGCCAGTCCGCATGCATGGGTAATGGGGATCAAACTCAGGTTCTCTACAAGAGCAGTCCATGCACTTAGCATCTCTCTAGGGTCTCTGCTATTTGCTGTGAGCCCAGGCTGGCTGGCTCAGGTCTCTCCCTCAGGAGCGCTGGGATTACAGATGTTTATGCTGTGTGTCTGAGAATTCAAGCCCAGGCCCTCGGGCTTGTGTGGTGAGTGCTTTACCCACTGAGGCAGAAGTGAATCCCAGCCCCATACTGAGGCATTCCTTCCTCATTCTAAACCTGCCTCCACAGAGTACAGTGTGTGCTCTAAATTGTGTTTCCTGGAAGGTAGTTGAACTCCCAGTAACTCAGAATCTGACCGTTTGGAATGAAGGTCTTCATAGAGGTAATAAAATTGAAAGGTTATATGTTGAGCTGCTCTCCTTATGAGGAGAGAGATGTGTATGGAATGATAAACCGAGGTAAGCCAGTATGAAGAGAAATAGTACCATACTCAAAGAGGCAGATTGGCATTAGAAAATGTCACAGACCACCACTGGCCAGAAGCAACAAGATAGGAGCCTTGATTTCCAACCTCAGAGCTCCAGACAGGCACATTTCTATCGCTCCCCAGTTTGTGGTCCACTCACGGCAAGCTCGGGGAACTAATGTAAACACCATGTAATTGCCTCAAGTCTTCAGACTCAAAGTGGGGACGCGCGCGCGCGCACGCACACACACACACACACACACACACCTTTCTCCCCGCCTTCCCAACACCTGGTTTCTCTGCCCATTTCCCTCTATGACACAGTCTCCTCCCTTTGGACTCCACACTTGGCCTCACCTGTCTGCATCAGGGGCTCCTACATGTAGGGGCTCTCCTTGCAGCTGCCTGCAGCCTGCTCAGGCTTCCTTCACTGATAGATCAAGACAGCTACAAGTCCAGAGGGTGAGCCTTCTGCAGGTCAGAGACTGGGAACGAGACGCAGAGTTGGCTAGAAAAACAGACTTCCTTTCTGAGGATAGAGGTGTCTTTAGTCTTCCTGTCCTTGTTCCACTCTGTTCTTTTTTGGTCTGTTCTTCCCTGATGTTTCCTTCCTCTGCTTTCCTGATGACTCCTACCCTACTTCCTGATGTCTTCCTTTTACATCTTTCCTGATGTTTTCCTTCTCTCTTTTGTTTTTTCCCTTACAGCTTATACACCCCAGCGAAATCTCCCAAGAAGTATAAAAATTGCAATGTGGTTACATTCTTTTTTTGTTTGTTTGGTTTTGGTTTTTGTTGTTGTTGTTGTTGTTGTTGGTGGTGGTGGTGGTGGTGGTAGTTTTTCAAGGCAAGGTTTCTCTGTAGCTTTGGAGCCTGTCCTGGAACTCGCTTTGTAGACCAGGTTGGCCTGGAACTCACAGAGATCCACCTGCCTCTGCCTCCCCAGTACTGGGATTAAAGGCGTGCACCACCACTGCCTAGCTTTACATTCTATTTTTTAAGTGAATGATTACAATGACTACAAGTAAAAAACATGTTTTCCATATTTGTACAGGATTAAACATTTTACATATTACAAGTGAAAACAAGTTGTCCCAAGAACACACATACATTCATGTCCAAACAACTTGTTATAGATTAACAGAGTATAAGCAAGCAAGGTATTTTTCTCAGCCAGTTCTTTTACTGGCAGGCTGCATTTTGCAGTTACAAAGAAAAGGCCATTTATTATTTATTTAAGACTATAAAAAGTCTTGAATCACAAACCTAAACGTTTATATATGAAAACCAGTCAGCTCTACTTCAAGTCCTAGGGTGCAGACTCATTCATCAACAGTTTTTTATATCAGAAAGTGAAGGGCAGAAATGGGCACAAGGAACCATCATCGATCACCAACTCACCCTAACAAGAAAGGCACGTCAGCTAATAATTACTGGGCTGCTCTGTTCTTGTTCCCTGACCTTAACGAGTCCCTCCCTCAACTATGTGCCCTTCTAAACTTTGGGGTGTTTCTCCAGGTTTTTCACCTCAAAGCTATTAACAAAAACATCTCAACCTAATCTTATTAACAATTCGACCTCTCGCAATTCTTTCTAAGGGTGGTGGTTGAATCATTAATCTGCTCCAGCAGCAATGCTTGGAAAAGTCAATCACTGTTATTATAAGTACCATTAACACTGCCCAGTGAGGGGCTAGAGCCCCCTGTTTTCATACAACCCATTGATTATGAGGGACATGGTGGTCACGAAGACAACAATCAGAGCTGTGCTCACTAACAGCATGAGGTCCTCAGGACACCCAGTCCTCGGGGCTTTGCCTCTCCAAGGCTCACTCAGGTGTGGCTTTGCCAACTGCCCAGCTGTGTTCCATGAGTTCCAATGCTTCCTGTTGGTCCCCTCACATGACCCCCAACATTCAAGGACCTGACTATCACATCAGGTGACATCTCAACCTGTGACTGACAGGTGCTGGGAGGCAGAGCCAGCACCTGAACTTCCATTCTCCTGCCAGGTCTGTGAGGTTGGGGTGGCCAAGGGTGGAGTCAACACAGATCCAGTGAAAACAGGACTAGGATAAATATGCTCTGGTGTCCAGCGAGGAGAGGGACATTACTGTATCATGCAGCAGGACCATGGGTCATTACCCAGTTCAGGAATCACAAGTCAGGACCAAGAAAAATCAGGGCTGTGGCTTCCCAGCAGCTTTGGGACCCAGCCCTGCCTCCCACCTAAGGCCAACCTTGTCTGTTCCTCAGTGTCTTCTGCTGATAGAGCTTCTCCTGGCACTGAACCTGGAGGTTGGTGTCCTCTTGGCCTTCCTGGCAGTCCAGCCTGGGCAAGCTTCAAAGACAGTAGCTGCAGCCTTCACCTTCTGGCCACGGACACTGGGAGGGGTGGTACAAGTGGCCCCCACCCGCAGGTTCAGCCCAGTGAGCCACCTGAGGAGGAGAGAGCTCATGATGGGCATGCATGGGTGAGAGATTTCCTGAGGGGTGTGAAGGAGGCTTAGAGAAAGTGCACAAAAGAACAGTTTCTACTGAGTTGTGGCTGGGTGGCCCGCCTCCAAGTCACTTTAAACCTCTGACCCCTTCTGCTTAAAAAGGGGATAATAAAACAGTAGCTTACCATGTACCAGACACTAGATCATCAATTTATAGCTGCTAACATGAATTTTCCAGCAGCCACGATGATGTGGGTTAGATTGCTCATCCTTTTCACAGATGAGCAAAGGGAGCCATGGTGATCATTTTGTGAAACGTCAGAACCTGGGCTGCCTAGATCTCAGGCTTGCTTGTCTCCAGATTCCCGATACTTTATTAAGACAACAAAACCAGGCAAACGGTCTCACGTAGCCCAGGTGGACCTCAACTTCTGATCTTCCAGTCTGCACCTCCTGAGTGGGGCGTTACAGATGTGTGCCCACACCTGGTACTTAGAAAGCCCTAGAAACCGAGCCCCGGGCCTTCGTGCTAGGCAGGCACCCTACCGACTGAGCTGTGTCCCCAGCCTTTGTTTCCCTTGAGTCCAGGCTGACCTCAGACTCCTGATCCTCCTGCCTCCACTTCCCAAGTGCTGGGATTACAGGCGTGGTCACCACACCCAGCTTCTTGTTCTATGTAATTGTGCCAAATGTGCAAGTGCATTTCTTAGGTCCCAGCACACCAAGCGAGGACAACAACACCCCAACTTTATGGAGGTTTTGGTCAAAGCTCGGTCCCCCTGTGCCACTGAGTTCTCTTCAGCTTGACTCAGACTGGACCCATCTAGGAAGCCGGGACCTCAGGTGGGATTGCCTCCATCAGATTGGCCTGTGGGCATGTCTCCATGGCGTTATCTTGATAATAATTGATGTGGGAGGCCCAGTTCACTGTAGGCAGTGCCAGCCGAGGTAGGTGGTCCTGGGCTGTGTGGGAAAGCCAACTGAACAAGCCAGTAAGCAGTGCCCCGCCCCCATCTCCGCCTCAGTGCGGTTCCTGCCTTGAGCTCCTGCCCTGGCCTTTCTTGATGAACTGTAATCGTAAACTAAACCCATGCGGAGTTGCTTTTTTTGTTTGTTTGGTTTGGGTTTTTCAAGACAGGGTTTCTTCTGTTTAGCCCTGGCTGTCCTCTTGCTCTGTAGCCCAGGCTGGCCTCCAGCTCAGATCCACCTGCCTCTGCCTCCCAATTGCTGGGATTTAAGGCCTGTGCCACCACAGCCTGGCTGATGGTTCTGAGATAGGATCTCACTATGTAGCCCTGGCTGGCCTGGTCTATATAAACCCGGCTGGCCTCCATCTCACAGAGGTCTGCCTGCTTCTGCCTCTTGAGGGCTGGGATTAAAGGCTGTGGTCAGCATGCCCAGCTCCCCTCTTGCTTTTTGGTCATGGGGTTTACCGCAGCAACAGAGGCGCTATCATCATCCTGTGTACTCAGGAATAGTAATGACCCGGCAAGCGTGTATTCATGCTTGGCTCCGAGGAACCTCACAGCCACCCGACGCTGGCTAGCGGTGCGCAGCCAGGGTTCCTCCAGGGAGACAGCTGGGCCTGATGGCAGCAGTTGGTATCCCTCTGGGGGTGGAGTTCTGGGGGTGGGGGTGACTACCTGTACAGTGGGAGCAGCTGGCAGTCGCAGTGGAAGGGATTACCACTGAGGTCGATGAGCTCCAGCCCGCTGAGCCACGGCAGCGCAGGCAGGGACTGAAGTCGGTTCTTCTGCAGGTACAGGTTCCGGAGCCCTGTTCCCAGGCCCGAGAAGGCCCTGGGAGAAATCTGCAAGGAAGGCGCCAAAGCCCTGTTGTGGGTCCCTGCCAGGTGGGCGGCCTCCCTCCAGCAGAGAAGACGGAAGGCCCAACGTGGTCCACATCGGAAGGGTAGTTCTTTGCTTAAAACCCAAGTGGGTCCTATTCCAAATCACACGATGCCCGTCCTCTTTCAGTTAGGCCCGAACCCACCCTTATCACTGCCATGCTTCTTAGGGACTCTCAACAGCAGGTAACCGCTCACACTCGAGGTCTTCCATGCCCCGTGGCAGGCTGGCCTCTGGCTGCACCTGCCCTGACACCCACACCTGAATTCCCTAAGGTTTGAGGAGGAGTTTTGGTCTATCTTGGGGTCCTCATGCCCTGCCTAAAATGCTTGCCGAAGGAATGCACTCCCCTGGACTGTGCCAGCACCCACCTGCTCCAGGCCACTGCTATTCAGGAAAAGCTGCTGCAGCGACCGCCCCACGGGCTGAAAGGCCCCGTCTTGCAGAGCCCTGATCGGGTTCCCCGAGAGCTGCAGCTCCGTGAGCGCAGGCAGCCCCTCCAAGGCTCCCGTGGGCACCTCTCGCAGCTGATTCCTGTCGAGATGCAGCTTCTCCAGCCCCCGGGCCGGCCCCAGCGCCCCAGGTGAGACCTGGCTGATGTGATTCGCACCCAGGTAAAGGCAGCGCAGAGCCCGCGCTCCCGCCAGGTCCCCGGGCGCCAGGCGCTCCACCGCGTTGCCCTGGAGGTGGAGCGAGAAGAGGCTGGGCAGGGCGCGCAGAGCCGCCCCCGGGACGCTCAGGAAGCGGTTGTGCTCCAGGTACAGGTAGGCGAGCCGGGGGGCCCCCTCGAGGGCCGCAGCGCTCAGGCCGGCGAGCTGGTTGTCGGAGAGGTAGAGGTAGAGCAGGCGATCCAGGCCCGCCAAGGCGCCGGGCTCCAGCTCCGCGATGCCGCAGTGCTGCAGGTGCAGCGACACCAGGTGGCGCAGGCCCGGGAAGGCGGCGCGGGGCACCGACGGGAAGTGGTTGCGTCTCAGGTCCAGGAGCTCGGTGGCGTTGGGGAAGCCGCGGGGCACGGTCTGCAAGCCGCGGCCGTCGCAGGCGCTGTGCCGCGTCTCCCCGACGCACACGCAGGCTGGAGGGCAGGG